ACAAAAATACAAAAAAAAGGAAATCCAATCTCAATGCTAATAATGTTTATAATATGACAACTTTATAACGAGGCAGTTAATTACACGGAAGATACAGTGGACCGCGACAATATCATTGAGTCTTACGTTTCATACAAAGGTTATATAAATATTCAAGTCATGTATTGTATGCTAGGTACAGTCAGCAACGTTATTTGCTACTTCCTTCGCTTAAATCCTATGTCCTTCAATTATATGTCCTTTAGACAGGGCAAAGGACGTCCACAAAAGTCTTGCATCGCGATCAGTCTTGAGTTTCTTGCTTCACTTTGCTCTGTGTCATTCCGATGACGCCTCTTCTTCCATCACTGTAGGAAGCCAGGTTTGCGAGGACGACCACGATTTCTTTTCTCCGATGCTTGTTTGGGAATATGGATGGAACCTCTTCGGAGCGTATGGCCTATCCAGCTCCACTTTCGACATTTGATCTTATTTGGTATGCAGGCAAGAAAATAAAGATCATTCAGTATATAGAGACTCTACTTATTGCTATTCTAATTTGTATAGTTGTTAAATACTTCTAACTAGTATTGGTAGGCTTAGGTTCCAACCAATTTCAATGGTTACTGTCTTTGTACTAATTCAAAACTTAACTTTATTTCCTTACCTGCGTACTAAATAAGTTGACTGATTGTACTTTCGTGATCCTACATAATGTTGTACAGTAATTGGTCAGGTGATTAGCTCAGTTTCTACGACGCAATTATTGTTTTTACTGTTCCAAAGTTATCATGTGTTTTGTTACGCGTATAATGTTTTGTTGAAATGTGTAATTTAATGGGATTTTGTGCTAAGCTTCAAACAAAGATTTATATTATTAATATACGATATATTATTATGGATATTTTTTATAGACTTTCATCGTATTTTAAGCTTTAAATATATCGAAAAGAAGTCTAGAATACGATACCAACTAGAGTATAAATAAGATTTAAGAAATTATGATGTAATGAAAGTCACATAAAATCAAAAGATATAATCGTAAAATATTCGTGTGGTCTAAATATTGTGATTTGTGAATAATTTAAGCCGACTCTCACCTAGTCGTGTTGATAGATTTAAATATCTTTAGTTATGAATAAATAAATCCGAAACAAGTTATATATGTCAAAATAACATAATAACTGTCAATAAAACGTCCAACAGTCGCAATAATGATAATACTAACAAGTTGTTGGACATCTGATACCTGAGTTTGCTTGTGGTATCGCTCTTAAGAGATTAGCGAGTGGATATTTTTTGGGGGGACAAAATCATTGTACTGTTTACTCTTAACAAAACACCTAATGAGCTTAATACGGGCTACCGATTTAAGCAAGAAACGCTGGAAAGAACTAAGATCGTATAGTATTTACTCACGTCAAGACATTGGACATTCAATTTTTAACTGCAGTGATTGTCCATCAGCCTTACGCTTCTGGATTGCCTCTTATTTTTACAAATGATGAATTTAATGTTTGAACATCTGGATCAAAATACTAAGAATAACTCAATACTTATAAAATTACTGAATAACTATAAAAAACCTTCGGATGACTGTTGCTTTGCCAAATTTCTGTGATAATTATGAATACTCTTAATCGATATAAATACGTATTGTTCAAAGAATTATATAAAACTAATATCTGGATTAATTGTTATCAATGAAATAATGATATTTACTTAATTAAACCCGCTACCTCTTCTAACTCGACACACGTCATAACTGAGCAGCGGTTAGAAGTCGGCCGTCAAATCGCGGCGCGCGAGCGTCCTTCACGGTTGAACGGGCAAGACGCGAAACGCGCATGCACATAGCAACATATACATACTTACAGCATTGTTTTAATCACCTGTTTTCTATTTCTCATTACAACTAAACTTCTGACGTCAACACACAAGTATTTAAACATGTACTTGTTTCCTTAATTAGATAATTCCGTATCACTTAACATACTAGAATGATCGTTAAGATTATAACGGGTAACTTTAAACCTGCCACCCTTTCGTAAATGAAATAACAGCACATTTATACTAATGTCATTGGGTTAATTAGTACCTACACAGGTTCTACAATATTTAATCGACAGTCAATTATTCTGGGGAATATCCGCGGTCCTCAATCCGGATATAGTGACTTCATCATTTTGCGGTGTTGAACAAATGGTAAATAGTAAAATATGTTACACAAAAATCATGTCTATAATCAGGTAAGTCCGGTCTCTGCAAATCATACGTGCTGTTAATAGAATATTACCTGTTTTGACCACATGGTATGTGCTAAAAAACTAGCTGAAGTGGTCTTTTCTAATCATAGCATCTATTGTTAAGCTGAACACGGAAGGACGTTGGTTACAGCAATAAAATAATTACGAGTTGTGACAATGTTGACCTTCAGTCAAGGGCCGCTGACACGTGTATAGTGCATCCATATAACACATCTCTATCGACATCTAAAGAGCACACTTTCCCAATGTCGTTACCTCAAGTGTCCCCCACATAGCGTACAAAACAAGCCACATTAAAACAATCCAGTTTTAGAGATCGGTAAAATTGATCTACTATTCATTTGTGTGCCATCCAGGAAGCGAGAGGTCTTTGGCTCCCACCGGAATGCGCCCCGCGTGGGTGGACGTACCGATCCCATACACCGCCATACACTCCCATGCACACGGCTTTCTATTGATTTAATGAATACTATCTTATCTTAGGCAATAGGCTTATTACGCTCACTTTACGCGTTTCGTGGTTGATTCACCCAATTAATGGCCGAACAACGGGCATAAAGCAATATCGAATGGATCAAGTAATTAATCTACAGTAAAATACAACATTAAAATTATACTTACATGGGTTTTCGTAATAATTGCGATATAAATCGTACATTAAGTCGATAACAGATGGCGCCACGCGTGAGTTCGGTTCGTTTGTGTTGTGCTACTCAATTTGAGGCGGATCGTTTACTAAGTAATTATAACGCGCTATTCATGTCGAGATGAAGTTTAGACATTTATTATTTTATAAGAACATCAGAATCTATTTTTAATGAACTGGTTTGTTTACAATGTTTGGACGTGTGTATTTAATTCTCTATGTGTACTTAGAATAACAACACAATAATTTATTAATGAATTACTGAAACAACTTTGTAATATCAAACACACCAGCAATTATGAAAACTGCGAAATATCCAGTTTTATTGTCAAGAAAATAAAGTGTACCGATTACGACTAGTGCCTATAAATAATAGCTCACCTGTAATTATAAAATAGGACTAACACATACCACAAATAAATGATTGATAGTTATCTAAATGTCCTAGCTTCCTTACTATCAAAGAAGACATAAGTTATGTAGAATTGAATTTCATGAATGAAGTTAAAAACTGTGAATGTATGAGGAGTGTAATAACGAATATGTTACCTCTAAACGATATTGTAAAGTTATGCTCAATGAAGCTCATTACTGAGCAATTTCCGATGGTTTAATGTGTCCATAAATTTGCAGAGTTCGGGACAACGGTTTGATTGCCGATAAAACCTCGGCCGCAACGGCAGTTCTGTATTAAAAAGCTGTTAATATAATTTGCACCTCGTTATGATCGACTCGTCCTGAGAATATCATGGCTAATTAAATGGTCGATGGTGATTATATGAGTTCTGTTTCAGATGTGCATGTGTAATTAAATACTTCGATTAAATTTATCGATTTTACTTCATCACGTGTCTTTTTTGATGTAAATATTTCTGACGGCCTAAATTAACAGCCAATTTAAATTTAAAATTTCTGGGTTGATTCCGGTGAGAGAAAATTCGTATTTTAACTAATGTCAAAAATCGACCCTAAACTAAATATATCGAGTTGAGATCTATATTATTTTTCGCTGGTAAGTACATACTTGCCTCATTTTACGAATGATTATAAATGTTTGATTGAAGTACTACCATATACAGAAAATGATCTTAACAACTATAATTATAAAAACTAATGTCCCTTCAATAATGAATCGAAGAGATATGCTTACGAAGAATTGAAGGCCGAACCCAACTTATTACACAAAATTAAGCCTTTAACTAAAGACAAGACAGCAGGAGCCAATGTGCAAATATGGCCGGGAAGTGATGTATATGTGACGGCAACGCTAGGCTCCATGACTAATTTTAGCGAAGGCCAACATCTTTTTCTGTAGAATTCTGATCCAAATATCTAAACATAGAAAAGGTATTATTTGGTAATGTCGTGAGCCTGACGTAAATAGAGAATTCAAGTGAAGTAATACGAATTGTTTTATTCTGCGAAGGTAAGATGATAATAATTTTCATATATTATTGTTACTAGCCTCATATTAAGCCACATTAAAGAGATTAACCAATCGGATATTCATATACATAGTAAGAGGTTCAACTTACTAATATGGATCCTATAAAAACAAAACTTCATAATCAAGTTATATAATCAAAAGATCTTCATTTTTAAGAGAAACAGAAGTTCTCGAGTGGAAGAATCTATAATCCACGACACAAAACAGGGTTTTTCTATAAAATGGAATACAGCCAGTAATATGAATTCATATTACGGTTATCGTTTTATCGATATTGATAAAGCTCATGATAACTGAACGGGAATGCCCACAACTGAATAATGTTACACCGAAAACAAATGGTTTGTACATTAGTGCTGCTAATATTAAAAGCGATGCTAGTATTTATATTAATATGAAAAAACCATCAACTCAAAATTGCAAATCTATCAACCTCAATAATGCATAATGAAACTAAAACATTCGTTCACAAGCAGGAAAATTGTATGAATCAGTAACTGAACGCGATATGAAATTTCTATAGGTGGCAATAGATAAATAATTTGGTAAGTCCCAAGATAAACAACACTTGATCTTGACAACATGAGATAAAGTATCTTACTTATACTGAAGCATTTGGTACTTCGATTGAGATGTTTAGTCCATTCTTTTGTTTGCTAAAATGCAGTTGTCAGTGGAGATCATTTTAATTTTAGGTTAGTGTGCGTGGACCCAATATTTTTTTTACGTTTCTTAATTTTCCATTGACTGATATAAAAAAATAATCAACACATTCATTTCTCACTGGAAACCAATGAATAATTTCCTCTAAATAGTTTTTGTTGATGCTTTTAATCACGAAAAGTCTTCTTTTACAGTTTCTCTCAGCTGTGTGTTCACAATCCCGGTGCCTGACAATACAGACCTCGCAAGGATTGTGAATGGAGAAGCAGTTGATATAACAGAAGTTCCATACCAGGCAGCTCTTAGAAGAAGAGTTCTGTCAGGATGGGCACACTCTTGTGGTGCAGTCATAATTACAAACAGAGGACTTTTAACTGCTGCTCATTGTGTTGAAGCGTGAGTACACCTTTAATAACAGTAAAAGGTTCTTTTGACAAAATTTCATGTTAGTTAACAAGTATTTCCTGAACTGATAATCGAATATTACGATATACTTATCAACCGATTCTCTTCTTTACAGTTAGCATTGATCTCTCAAAAAACAAGTTAAGGACAGATTTCAATACCATTTCTCCTTATTTTCAGATTCGTATCACAACCATCACTATTACGAGTGGTAGTCGGTACTTCGTCCCGTCTTAATGGTGGAAAGACTTACGATGTGTCGGTTATTTACTCCCATGAAGCCTTCTCAGCTACAACTTTAGAACATGACATTGCATTATTGGCTACTTCAAAAGTCATAGAGTTTAGCGAATCCGTTGCCCCTGTATCTTTTGCTTCAGAACACTATGTTCTGCCTGCTGGTACCGGAGCTGTTGTGTCAGGATTTGGGACGACGTCGGTAAGATTTGTTTTATCACTGCCAAATCAAGATAGCGATAAATGTGATTGTTATTCAAAATATTTGTTAGATTATATCATGCACGCTACTTGGTTTACTGAAATAGTTCATATTCCTTTTCAATTTTAATAAACATGTATTTTTTTACAGTACGAAGGTTCATCATCTGAAGTGCTGAAGGCAGCTCGAGTCAGCATCGTCTCTCAGAGTGTGTGCGCCCGTGCCTATCTACGAATTGCAACTATCGGGGCAGGAATGGTGTGTGCGAATGGCAGTAACCCACCAAAAGATGCATGCCAAGGTGACTCTGGTGGACCTTTAGTTGTAAGAAATGTTCTAGTCGGTATCGTCTCTTGGGGTGAAGGTTGCGCCAATACTAATTATCCTGGAGTATACACAAGGGTTTCTGAATACAGTCCATGGATAAGGCAAAAATTAGAAATTCTGAGGACTAGTGGATAATTTTATGATCTGAAAAAAAATGACATTATTATGTAGGGATGTATGAATTGAAATTGTGTATTGTGTCACAAAACCTTCTTTACGGACATATTTATAGCTTCAGCATGAGACGTCTAATTTTGTGTCCTGGTATTTTTTCACACAGTATTTAGTAATTAAACTTATTTAGAATCGTATGGTGATTTTATATAGCCCTATGCAATAGATAAGTTGTCATTTCCTTAGTCTAGAAAATCAGACAACGTATCCATCTATGACCTTTTTTTGCTTATCGATGGCCTCTCATCAATGATTACTTTCAACCTCTTCTAAGGCGTGCTTGTTAGAATTTGAAATTCTAGTTTTTACCATAACTTAAGATTTTGTGAACAATGTACCAAAATGTTGTATAAATTGTAAATAAATACTTGACTTGCATGAATTATTTTTATCAAATATACCCGGTACAACTATGGTGAAATTCAATGTTATCAGATAATTATTGAACATTGAACATTGTATTCATTGTAATTTGAAGAATAATGTTAAAAATACTTTTCTTACAAGATATTCTTGAATTACAGTAGATTTTAACTCATAACGGTAATTGCTAAAAAACGTTACATTTTATCTAGTTCCATGTAATTTATGCAAATTTTTTGTTAATAAAAATATTTTATTTTATTTTGAAGGTGTTATATTATTTCTTGCAGTACATTACACTTTTACATACAAACATTTTTTTAACAATGGATATTACGGTATATTTTAAATGTCGATGACATTTTAACTTACTTGACAGTATACGTATTTTGTCACCAACAAAACCGTTACTAGACAAGATTATTCTGGAAAAATGTAAATGCAATCACTTATTTTTAGACATTTTATTCATAGGAGCGATATGGTAATTCTTTTACCTACTACAAATTACAAATTATGGAAATAATATGAGTCACTTTGTGAATGAGTCTTCGTATGTGTCTGCACGTCTGTTACAGTTAGGGCTGATTCAAAAATTAAATGGTGACAACGACCACAATGTACTTACCTATAGTAATTGCCGTTTAAAAGAAAAGCTTTATACTTCAATACAAAATGTTCAACTTAATTAGCTAATACTATCCCTCTGCTGGGCACCAGTCTGTTTGCAAAAGTGTGGGAGAGCCATGCTTCGGCAGGAATGAGCCGGCTCGACCGAAGTGATACCACGGCCTTACAGAAAACCGACGTGAAGCAAGGCTTGCGTTGTGTTTCGTCGTGTGAGTGAGGTTAAAGGAGGCCCAATTACCCTCAGCTTCCCCAATGTCCCCAATTCCTGAATCCCCAACGATCCTCAAACTCCTAATCCTCAAAAGGCCAGTAACACACTTGTAACGCCTCTGGTGTTCCAGGTGTCCATGGGCGACGCCGATTGCTTACCATCAGGTGATCCGTCTGCTCGTTTACCGGCTTATGCCATAAAAAATGTCTAAAGAATTTATCAAAAATTTACATTGGAATCGAAAGATAAAGAATTGTCCAAATAAGCAAATCTGTTATTGTCATCACTAAATATATAAATCGAAGTTAAGATACTATTTAGCATAAATTCTGAATGCCATGCAATCACTTCCAGTGACAATAAGGAAGTATACACTGTACAGCAAAAACAATTACAAGCAGCCTTTGAACCTATTGATCAAATAAATAGAAATAAATATCATCACATAAAAAACAAAAATAACACCAACCACATCAAATATCGAACTACAGATAAATAAACAAATGAATGAACGATTGAATGAACTGAACACAGATTAAAATAGACATGTTAATAAAAAAACAAAAGCAAAATACTCTTCACCTCGATTAAAGCTCGAATAGATTCATTATACCTTATAAAGCGATGATTAAAGCGCTTTATAAGCTGCCTGGCTAATTGAGATGACGCCTTGATTAATGCGGAAATGCAATGAAAATAGTTAGCATTGCAGCCACCATTGTTCTTACGTAGTGTGAATGTTTTTCTATTGAATAAAGTATTACCGTTTCTGGTTCGTTTAGTTTAAAATTCTTTTGGTTGTTTGGTCTTCCTTCTTCTTTTACCTTTTATGGTTTATGAATCTATTTTTCTATTTTCCCTTTTTATTTTTCTATTACTGTTTTCCTTTATCAGTTAACATTCATCTTAACGTTTTCTTGTAGTGCATCATTTCATATCCTTCTTTCTTATTGCCGGTCATTTTTATACTATGATTTATTATTTTAATGCTTTCTAATATGGCTTATTTATAGGAAAACTGTTTCAGTATTATAATCGGTTTATATTCCAACGAAACTTCATTAGGACTTATCTCATGGACACAATTGTTATCAAATTTAAAGATAAGACACAGTTTCTAAACTCCAAAATATTTTTATTTGTCTATTTGATTTTTCTAAGTAAACAAGTCACGTAACTTACGTAGTCCTTTCTATATAATTGCTGATCTTACATTAATATTATTAGAATAATATTAAAAATGTTAATTTTGTTCTTGCAAACAGAAGCTAAATCTGTCTATAATAAGGTTTAATTTAACATAATCACCCTGCTTAAAAAACTTGGTTAGAACAAAGACGGAGTTTTTTGCGCAGACATGTCACCGCGAGCTGTTCTCTGATTGATCGCTTCATTTGAATCGAGTCGAGATTCGATTATGATTAGCAGCTATCGGCATTGACAATCGTCCCTTGTGAGTTCGTCAATGAGGGGTCTTAAGTTCAAGCTTGTAAAAATTAAGTTAGTTTGGTAAACAAGCATTTACGTAAAGATTATTACCTAATAGTATTATTACCTAATATTTACACGTTTCAAGCATTTTTCTTTTGGTTCGTTTTGTGCAGTGTTTGCATGTTTTGACAAAAAGAAAAATAAGATATTATATTTCTGTAAATTAAAGTTATTTATTTTAAGTGTGGGAGAGCCATGCTTCGGCATGAATGGGCCGGCTCGACCGGAGTGATACCACGGCCTCACAGAAGACCGACGTGAAACAACGTTGTGTTGTGTTTCGTCGTATGAGTGAGGCTACCGGATGCTCAATTACCCCCCCCCCCTCTCTTTCCCCAATCCTTGTGTAACACCTCTGGTGTTCCAGGTGTCCATGGGCGACGCCGATTGCTTACCATCAGGTGATCCGTCTGCTCGTTTACTGGTTTATACCATAAAAAAAGAATACGCTGATTACTCTTTGTTCAAGTCTACTTTAACTACTCATGGGTCGGCTTATCCCATAAAAAAATATTATTATTATTATAGAATTATAAAAATGTTGTGAATGAAGATTAAAATTTCAGCCTTTTCTTACAACACCTTAACACTGCATAACTTTATAATCAAAATACATGGTGTTCATTAAATTGTTAATAAATTTAAAAAAGTTCATAAAGCCGATGAAAGTAGAGCACATAAAACACATTCCATGGGTTTTTATAACATGACATAAAACCTGTAATTAAGGAATTAATTAACAAAACAATCAACACTTATGTAAACATGATATCGAAAAAGTATTGTAATCTACGTTAAATACGGTAGAAGCTTCCGACACTCGCTCGTAATCCATTTCCTCTTTCTAGACTACCACATTGTTCCTCAACTTTCATAAAACGAAAGAATATAGAGTTTAACACAAACAAAACAAAGCTCAATTCACCTCACCACAGTACTTGATTAAAGATCTTTGAAACATAAGCACAGAAATTTATTTACGACACCCCCTCATTTAACCGTCTTCTGTCTCTTACTTTTGTATGAGTAAACGGTATGTTTTGTCTCGTTCCGTCGACCCATAATAAATTTTGGGACGATTCTGAATTAACAATACCATAGTCATAATTCGCAAGCCTGTTGCGGCGCCTTCATTGGGATGTTTGCCGATTATTTTATTATTTAACATCGTATTAACTATTAGATGCACAAAAAGGATTAATACGTAGTTGTAAACAAGGTTTAAAAATACTTTAATTGTGTGATTCCTGATCTTATTTGATTTTTGTACATTAAATGGTAATAGATACTGTATATAAAATACGTCATATTATATCGATAGTAGAATACAAAATTACAAAATATTATTAAAATTATTGGTAAGTATGAAATTAAAAATCAGCATGTATTTTAAATTGTCTTAAAATTTCTTTAAGTGCTATAGCTAATTAGATATTATGAGTACGTTCTAAATAGTAAAATTCTATTTATATTTTAATATTAACAATGTAATATTTTACCAACGTAGATCATTAAAATACAATTTATGAACAAAAAATATCAGTAACAAAACTGTCGATAAATCCATTCTCGAAATCGTACATCACTAGTCGAGTGACGGAGCGTACGCCACTTAATTCAGGGGTGGCATTGCTCAGACGGCAATAACGTATACACGAATAGGTGTCGAGTTGGGCTCCACTGGCGTCTTACTTGGATCAATTCTAATCTCTGTCGTCACGCCCGGAGCGACGCGCCGTGACACTTCGACCAAACATCCACTGTATCAATATTTACGTCACCTAATCATAACTGAACTTCTTTCTTCTCAAATTACAGATGTATTTAAGAACTTTTTGTTACAAGAATTTATGGGTTTTTATGTTTGTTTTTATATGGTTATTGTATGGATCGTAAATAAATAATAATAAACTAGTAGCAAGTTTGTATTACATTTTGTTACAAATAAAAACAAAATAAATAAATATTTTTGGAATGTTACATTTTGCTCTGATTGTAAAATTGTAGGAAAAATCAATTTAATTCAGAATAAGTTTATGTCTCAATCCTTTAAACATTGAAAAAGTCAATACGTCGTCTATATTCAATTCGATTAGGCCGTTGAGCGTCTAAACCCACCGATAAGTAAGTGTAATGCTATAGTCCCTCGGCCTATTACCTGGCAATTTCACAGAACGATCTACGTTGGATCGCGTCGACAGCACACAATGATGTGACACACACGGGCTTTGTAACCGAGAGGGACGGCACTCGCTCCCGCGATTTG